AAAAAAAAAAGCCGGTCACGAAAAAAAAAAAAAAAACTAAAGTGGGGGCACGGTCTGAATTTAAAGAGGGTGGTCAGGGACATTCTCTCTGAGGAGATGACAGTGAAAGTGAGAAGTGAAAGAGGGAGCCATCAAATATCTGGTGCAGGGGTGGTGGGCGTTCCAGGGAAAGGCAACATCAAGTGCAAAGGCTGTGAGGTTGGAACGTGTCGTCTGTATTTAGGGAACAGCGAGGGGGGCCGGTGTAGCTGGAGCGGAGTGAGCAGGGGTTGGGTGGATAGAGAAAGAGAAGGCCGGGGAGCAGTTGGGGGCAGGAGATGGGAGCATAAGAGGGCTGAAGGCAGAGGAGAGACGGGATTATGCAGCCCCCTGCGTGAGAGACCAAAGCTCCTGTTTCTAGAGCTCACACACCTGAGACCCAAGGGCCACTCTGAGCGCGGCTACCTCCACTCGGAGCAGGAAGGAAACAAGGCCTCAGCACAGCGGACAGCGCCACCACCCAACCCGGCGGACGCTGACCATGGTGCTGATGTGAAGTTCGGACTAAGAGTCACGTGTGGGGAGAAGTATCTGGTCCCGCTGAGGAGGGTTAGTGACAGCAGCCCTGGCCTGGCCTCCCTCCCATTCTGGGATGGATAATCTTAGGTACAGAACACAGACTAGGCTGTACCTGCTCGTTCAAAGCCTTCTCCAGGGCTGCCCGGTTAGCTCGGTCGGTTAGAGCAGGTTTTATAACAGCAAGGTCAAGGGTTTGGATCCCTGTGCCGGTCAAAAAGCCTTCTCAACGTGACTCCGTGGGTCTCACTACATCTTAAACTCAACTCGACCAAAACAGAGCGCTGGTTTAGAATGTAAGTAAAAGCACAACTATCCTCTGCTCAAGACCCACTCATGGCTCCCTGTGGCACTCTAAGTAAAAGTCAACCTTCTCCCAGTGCCTCAGGGCCTTTGCACTTGCAGGCTCTTCACCTGGAACACTCTTCCCCCGCATGTGTGCATGGCTCATTCCTCACTTCCTTCAAGCCTTTTCTCAAATGTCCCCTTTTCAGTGAAACCTGCCCCAACCACACTATTCAAAATTGCAAAAACAAACTGGTCCTTCTGACTTCCTTTCCCTATGTAATTTTTTTTATTATCTGCTGTTATTATCTGCTCATACACCGTTAAAACTCCTTGTTAATGCTTAGTGAGCGTTATCTGTCTCCCCCACTAGAATGTCAGCTCCACCAGGACAGAGACTTTGTTGCCTGTTCACTGCTGGGTCCCCAGTACCTAGAAGAGGTAGGTACCTAGAACACAGTAGGTGTTCAACAAATATTTGTTTCATGAATCAACTAAGCACTTGAGGATATCAATAAACTGAGATGCAAACACTAATCCTGAGCTACCTGCCTTTCTGCCCCTTACCGCCTGGTCTAGCCCCACCTGCAGGCAGCTACAACGAGCCCATCTATGGTAAGTGTCCTTCTGTCAAGACATGAAGACAGAATTCTGAGAAGTGAGAGAAAAAAGAACCGTGTGTGCACAAGATTTGTCAAACATCCGCATCTCTGCTGAATGTTCTCACTCAGCCTACATTTATAAGCACCTACTGTGTGCCCGGTGCTGTTCTATGAGCCGGGCACCCAGCAGTGACCAAAACAAAAACCCTATCCTCGTGAAGCTGACATTCTAGTGGGGAGAGAGGCCATCGAATAAACGCATAACGTTGGAAATTATGTAATTTGAAGAGAAATAAAGATGGATAAGCAGTTAAAGAGTGAAGGGGGAGCTGGCCGATTAGCCCAACTGGTTAGAGTGCGCCTTGTAACACCAAGGGCAAGGGTTTGGTTCGCCATATCTGCCGCTCGCCCAAGAGTGAAGGGTGTTCAGTTTTGGACAGGTGTCCAGAGGAAGCCTCTTGAATATGTGATACTGGACCAGAGACCTAAATGGAGTGAAAAATGGGCCATATCTTGGAGATGACTGCTCCAGACAAGGGAACAGCAAGGACAAAGAGCCTGAGATGGGGCTATGTTCCGCATGCCTTCGCATATGTAACTGTGTGGACTGTGATGTGGGTGTCATTACTGGGTGCTTGTGCATTTGGAGAGTTGCAATGTGAGGTGAACCATGGGTTGTGTATCTGTTGACCAGGGTTGACATGGTGTGTTTGACAATGCAGTGTAACAGTGTGCCTCATACTGTGTGTGTTTGTGTGTGTAGTGGTGGCAGCATATATATATGCTGTCAAAACACACACACACACATATATGAATGTATTCTGGTGTGTGCGCAAGCGAATGGGTGTGGGGTGTGAACGTGGGACTGAGCCTGTATGGGATGGGGATGCTTTGTGTCAGGATTGGCTAGGGCTGTGATATATGAATGTATTCTGGTATGTGTGCAAGCGAATGGGTGTGGGGTGTAAACGTGGGACTGAGCCTGTATGGGATGGGGATGCTTTGTGTCAGGATTGGCTAGGGCTGTGAGCATGTGGGTGACAGGGATTCTGGAAACGGAATATAAGCACAGATGCCATGGTGCACGCGTGCGCGCGCATGTAAAGGGGTGCGGGGGTGCCCAGCTGTGTGAGTGTGTGTGTTGGGGGATGTTGTGGAGCTGTTTCCTGGCCCCAGAGGGAGAGAAAAAGCCCAGGAAATCTCAGTTCCGCCCTGCCCCTGGGTCTCCAGGCAACAGCATCACTTTGAAGTTACCAAGAGACAAGGTTGCCAGGACAACACAGGCGTGAGTGGCAGCTCTGGGGAGCAGTCTAGGTGAGGAGACCCAGCCAGCGACCGTGATCACTTACCTTGTTCCTCCCTCTCTCCTAGTTTCTCATCAATCCTACTTTCCTTCCTTCCTTCATTGATTTAACGAGCATATATTTAAGAATCTAAAATGTGCTAGGCACTGTTCTGGGCGCTGGAGAGACAGAAATGAACAAAACAAACACTGCTGTGTCTCTTCCTCAGTCTCCCAGCCTATCTCTTTGTCTCATCTAACCCCCTTTTGGCCTTTGGTCCTGCCTTCACCCGTATCACAAGCAAGATCAGAGAAGCCCCCAGGTCAATGAGGAAGTAAGCTGAGAGCGAGAGCCTTCTTCTCACAGACCCTCAGAGATGATTGATGATGTTTTGCATATAAGTGTCCCTGAGCCTGTGGCCCAAGCACACTCATGCCCGTAATTAGGTGCACATTAGAGGCAAGCACAAAGCTCATCCCCTCTCCACCTCTCATTTGCCATTGGGTGACATCAGCAAAGCCACACAGACACATACCCATTGCAATACTCCTCTGAGATACCATGAGCCTCATTTTACAAGAGAGCAAACTGAGGCTAGCGGACTTCAAGTAATGTGTCAATGATTTGGGCCTGCTCACTCCGTCTCTCAAAACTTGTATTTGTCTAATTAGCTGATTAGCTCACAATGAGTATTCGTGCTACTTCCTTCAGCAGATTCCCCCAGGGAAAGATCTTATCTTTATCTAACGTCCCCATTCCTGCAAACTCAGACTGGGTTATTCGACAGGAGAGGAGATAGCAAAGGGCTAACTTTGATGGACAGCCCCAAGGGCCAATGGAGAAGCTAAGTGCACTGTAACCAATGAGGACTCTGTTTGGGTGGGACTAAGGCTGGGAACGCGCCACCGATTGGACAGAAGTACATTGCGAATGGCGGAGATTCTGAGGCGGGTGCTAAGTGGGAGCGGCGCGGCCGGACCCGGGGAGGAGAACACGGCTGAGGCCGGACCGCCGTTGCTGCTGCTCGGCGCTCCGGGTTCTGGAAAAACAACGCTGCTATTCGCGGCAGCCCTGGAGGTGGCGGGGGAGGGCCGAGGCCCCGTACTCTTCCTGACCCGGAGGCCTCTTCAAAGCCTGCCCCGCCGAACTGAAGCAGGGCTCGACCCTCTGCGTCTCCAGGTAACAGTGCGGCGGGACAGGAGGCGTACCAGCCAATGGGAGGGTGGACCGAGGGTTGAGTGACAGGTAGGCAGGCTAATGATTGGGACGGTAGAAGGGAGCGCGGAAGCAGCCGTGATGGTGATGGCCGGGATGCGTGAGAGGCGGGACAATACGGAGCGTGTTCAAGATTGAGTAAAAGACCATCCAATGACGGTGCGATGTTAGCGAAAGGCGGTACCCAAAGGGTGGAGTCAGGGGCAATTAAGGGGCGTGGCTACGCTTGGGTTTAGTCTGGATCGGAGTTGGTTCCAGTGGGGCAGGGGTCCAGGCTGGGGTCAGACTGGGAGTGTTAGGTGCGGGTTTTCCGTGTAAAGGTTGCCCTAGAGATTTGGTAAAAGACATAACTTGCCTTCAACTAATACCTGGCAGTGATGAGTGCTGGAAAAAGAGGGGTGAACTCTGTCAGTTGCTTCATGCAGGAGAGTGTGCCAGGTAGCAGGACTGCCATTGCGGGGAGTCTGGCTCCCTGTGCTGAATCTGGCCCTTTACTTCTTTTGCTCCCTCTAGAAGATCCGCTTCCAGTACCCACCCTCAACCCGAGAGCTTCTCCGGCTCCTATGCTCTGCCCATGAGTCCCCCGGGCCAACCCCCTCCCTTCTACTACTTGACGGCCTGGAGGAATACCTAGCGGAAGAACCGGGCCCCCAGGAAGCCGCCTACCTGGCTGCTCTGCTTCTGGACACAGCCGCTCACTTCAGCCACCGAGTTGGGCCCGGCCGGGACTGTGGACTGGTGGTGGCCCTCCAGACCCAGGAGGAGGCAGACAGTGGGGATGCTCTGCAGCTGGCACTGCTCCAGCGGTATTTCCCTGCCCAGTGCTGGCTGCAGCCGGATACACCAGGCACAAGAGAGCGCTGCCTTCGAGTCTGCCTGGAGCCAGGTGGGCTGGGCCCCAGGGCAGAGTGGCGTGTGACTTTCCGACCAGATGGAGAGATGATGATCACCCCGTGGCCCACCCAGACTGGTGACCCCAGCTCAGAAAAAGGTTCAAGCTCTGGAGGCCAGCCCTGAATTTTGGTGTGTGACAACTTCTCTGTGCCTTAGTTTCCCATGTCTGTAATACCTACCTCAGGGACATGTACAGATTCAAAGACCTAAAGAATGTAAAGTACATTTTCTCTTTTAAAAAAATAGCATTATCAGGGCTGGCTGGTTAACTCAGTTGGTTAGAGCATGGTGCTGATAACACCAAGGTCCAGGGTGCCATCCCTGTACCGGCCAGCCTTCAAAAAGAAAAACAAACAAATAAAAATAGCATTATCATGTACATATTATACCTAATCAGTACATGTTTAGTTTTGCTGTTTTGAACTTTATAAAAAGAGTTTCATGATAAATGTAATCGTCTGAAACTTCCTTCTTTTCCCACTCACCATTGTTACTAAGATCTTGACACATTTTTTAGTCTGTTCCTTTTTCTGTATTGCATAAAATTCTACGGGAGACTATACCCCAATTTATTCATCAGATTGACTTATTTACTGCTATGAACATTCTTGTGTACATGTCATGGTAATGTGTGTGAGTTTTTAGTGTATATACCTAGAAGTGGAATGGTTGGAGCAAAAGATATGCATTGTTCAGATTTCTTAGGATATGACAAGCTTTCTTTCTTTTTTTTTTTGGTAGCTGGCTGGTATGGGGATCCTAACCCTTGACTTTGGTGTTATCAGCACCATGCTCTCCCAAGTGAGCTACCGGCCAGCCCCTCCAACTTTCTTAAAGTCATTAAACCAGAACTCTCGTTTAGTCATCAAGTAAGACTTGACATCATCAGAGTGCTTTCTTAGAACATGGCCTGATTCAGAATAAAGCCCTATGAATTTTTGTTGTTACTGTTGCTATTATTAGTGGCAGAGACTAGCTAGAGGCTCACTAAACAGCTTTCCTCTCCCTGGGTATGCATCTAAACTACATTTCCCAGCCTTCCATAGTTCTAGCTGGAATCACATGACTGTTTCTGGCCAATGGAATGTGAGAAGAAGAGACAGAGAGACATTTCCAGGCCAGAACCCTAAATGGACCATGGAATCTTCTGCTATCTCTCTTTACTTGTTGGCTGGCAGGATGTAGAGGACCCATCTAAGGACCCCAAGGCGACCCTATGGGAAGGTGAAACTACAGAAAAGTGTGGACCTCTAACTCATCCCAGGGATGTCTGCTCACCTGTTTGAATTGAGATAAGAGAAACCACTTAATGTGTTAAGCCACTAAGATTTAGGCGCTGTTTGTTATGGCAGCTAGTGTAACTTATACTGACTAATTTATTAATATTAGTATTCAGATTACCAGGTCCAGAATTTCAGACTGAGCTCAAGGAATTTAACTGCTATCCCTATATCCTAGGCCCAGGGAAAGATGAGGCTTACAGGGTGTTTGTAGAAGTCACTATAGAAAAACTTACATATATACATATATAATTGTATCTATAAAAAGAAAAAAAAAACACAATACATATTTAAGAATAACTGCAAGGGCCGGCCCGTGGCTCACTCGGGAGAGTGCGGTGATGATAACACCAAGGCCCCGGGTTCGGATCCCCTATAGGGTGCGGCGCTTCGCCC